ATTTTTAGTAGAGACAGGATTTCACCATGTTGGCCAGGATGGTCTTGATCTCCTGACGCTGTGATCCGCTCGCCTTGGCCTCCAGAAGTGCTGGGATTACAGACGTGAGCCACCACGCCTGGGTTCAGTATGATATTTTTGAGAATCATAGTTACTGTGTGTATAGTAGTCCATTTCTCTTTTTTGCTACGTAATATTCTGTTGAATGGATTTGTTACAACTTGTTTATTATTTATTTATTTTGAGATGGAATTTCGCTCTGTTGCCCAGGCTGGAGTGCAATGGAACGATCTCGGCTCACTGCAACCTTTGCCTCCCGGGTTCAAGTGATTCTCCTGCCTCAGTCTCCTGAGTAGCTGGGATGATAGACGCATGCCACCACCCCTGGCTAACTTTTATATTTTTTAGTAGAGATGGGGATTTCACCATGTTGGCTAGGCTGGTCTCAAACTCCTGTCCTCAGGTGATCTACCTCCCTTGACCTCCCAAAATACTGGGATTACAGGTGTGAGCCACCTCACCTTGACAACTTTTTTATTCTTTTACTGATGGATTATTTCCAGTTGGACCTATTAACATCTGTGGACATTGTTGTACAAATCTTTTTATGGAAGTATATTTTTATTTCTTTTGGGTAGATAGCAAGAGGAGTAACCATTAAATTTTATGTAAAAGCGGCAGTTTCAGTAGAGTTAAGGACAGAAACCAGATGGTAGTGGGAAATCATGAAGTATTCTTAGTAACAACTTTTAAAGAAATCTAGCTGTGATAAGGAGGAAAGAGAGACTAGTAGCTGAGTGAGAGGTGAGATTTTGCTTTTTTTTTTTGCTCCTTGTGTTGCCAGGCTGTAGTGCAATAGCATGATTTTGGCTCACTGCAACCTCTGCCTCCCAGGTTCAAGCGATTCTCCTGCCTCAGCCTGCCAAGTAGGTGGGATTACAGGTGCCTACCACCATGCCTGGCTAATTTTTGTATTTTTAGTAGAGAAGCGTTTTTACCATGTTGGCCAGGCTTGTCTTGAATTACTGACCTCAGATAATTCCCCCATATTGGCCTTCCAAAGTGCTAGGATTGCAGGTGTGAGCCACTGTGCCCTGCTGAAATTTTGCTTTTTTTTTTTTTTCAAGACAGGGTTTCAGCATGTTGGTCAGGCTGGTCTTGAACTCCCGACCTCAGGTGATCTGCCCACCTTTGGCCGCCAAAGTGCCTAGATTACAGGCATGAGCCACTACGCCTGGCCTGAAATTTTGCTTTTTTAACTTTACTTTTGTGGTTTTTTGTGTGTGG